GTAGACATAAAATACAAGTAACTAGACATCTTTACATTATTTAATATTTATGACCTTAAGAATAAAGAAAAATATAAATTTATTAAAAGTCAATTAAAATTTATTCTGTCATTGGCCTATATTTTAATCTTCGACAGTTTCGACTAATCGATAGTCATCTTCAAAGTTTGTAATTATTTTGCGCTGAATCGTAATTTGTTCAAAATAAATGTATAATCTTCTTATTCTTCTTTAGCATTTGTCCCGTTTTGGCAGTGTCTACTTTTTTCCTCTCTTTTTGGAGGTTTTGCTTGATCTATTTAGACATTCGTTAGGACTCCTTGGATGAGTGATCAGCCCGTCGCAAGGCCTCTACCTGTACACAGGACAGCACAACACAGAAAGACGCGGACAAGCATACATGCCTTGAGTGGGATTCGAACCCACGGTCCCAGCGACCAAGGGGCACAAGGCCAACGCATCAGACAGCGCGGCACTGTGACGGCTCAAGATAATTGTATAATAAGAACGGGTAATGATAATATTTTAGTTATTTTAAGAATGAAGATCATCTCAATATTTAAAATTTAGTTCTTACCTGGGAAGAACACAAAGCTTCTCCATTCAAAACGGAAGTGATTAATCCTGATTAAAGAAAAGACCACTGTTCAATTTGTTTAATCAAGACCTTCAAACATCTATTCGGGTAAAATGTTGTAACGAATGAAATAAGAACATTTTCTTAACTCACGTACACTGTTACTATTTTCTCTACGTTTGTTGAACATTATGATATTGATTTGAAAATTTAAATTCTTTCTTCTTTCATTACACATTATCTTTATCGTCCTCATCATTATTACTGTTTTCTGTCGTGTTCTAAATCATCTTTGTGCTTGGCATATGAAAAAATGTTAAATGTTTTTTATACTTCATTCTTCCCACATACACAGTTATTGTTTTCCTGACGGCCAGGTTATTTGGTTATCTGTATCTCGGTTTACAGTTGAACTTATGATATATTTGGGCCTGTTGCTTTCCCCAGTTCTCTTTTTGTACAGATGCATGTCCTTCCGTCAAGGGCGTGTTTATTATAAACTCTTAAATTATGTTGTTCTTACTAAGTATTAATTCTTAATTATCATTCTTATTTCTATGACATGTGGCCGTGTACAAATGGTCACTGTATCCGTACTTGCTTACCTGTTATAGCAGCGCGTCTCTGAATCCCAGGACAGCATTCTCTACTGCTACGTATCGTTGTCTGCCTGGAAGTTGAGTGTGTACTGATTAGTTTCCTAGTGGTCATGGAGTGGGGAGTAGAGGTATCCGACTGAGGTCCTGTATAAATGTGTGTACAACGCGACTTCTTTTTGAGGTTTCACGTATACATTTTTTAAAAATTTAACTAGACACTTTTCTTTAGCTCTTTAACACAGTTTATTACAATTAAATACTATCAACAGTTATTCACTAATTAAAGCATTGCTACTGACAGAATTTTACAATGACCACTTATACACGACCACTTGTCATAGAATAAGAACAAAAATTAATATGCAAGAAGAATAACATAATCTATTTGTGGTTTATAAACACAAATTTAAAGTTAAAGGCAGATTAAATTGTAAGAATGTTGCTAACTCTCAGTTGAGAATCATTTGTCTGCTGTCGCCCGTCTAAATACGCAAAGAACACAAAATAACTTACCTCGAATTTAACTATTTTTTGTGTAAGTGTGAAATTAGTCTGCAACCCAAAACGAAGAACAAAAGTTGTACGAACAGTGATAAAGCGGATATTTGCTTTATTAAGAAAGATTCAGCGCCATTAATTTTTGCATGTACCAATAAATGAAACAAAAACCTAAAACCAAACTCAAAATAACGTAGGTTTCATTATACAAAATGTTGTAACTATAATTTCATTTCTAACAACGTAATGTAATTCGCATCTTTAATTTGTAGTGGAAATCCTTCAAACCACAGCCTATGTAATGATTATTATATTTCCATGACTCAGTAGTACCCAAAATCTTGAATATGGCTGTCTTCTGCGTTGTTTCGCCGCGTAACCTGATAGGAGTTTGCCTGCGTTTCAGATGTGCTTGCTGCCACCATCATCAGGGCGATAGCTACACGGCGTAACACATCGGAAAACAGCCATCTTCATATTCGCCACCGACAGAACGTCAGAACTCACCCAAAATCTTGTTCTTGAATCAGGGTGCTGTGTGTGAAGGTGAGGACGGAATAAAGGTGAGAGGAACTTCGGGGGACCTTATATACAGAACAGTCCAACTGTCCGCGACATAGCGTCCTTTTAAGAATTACACTTTGCGAATGGTCACCATCTCTATGTAATGACGGCCCCCTGTTTATTACTCGGTTGTTCGTAACGGAGTAGTTAAATCTGAATTTAATTTTTCTTTCCTGTTGAGCTGTATAACTTCACAAAGAATAAGTAAGCGTTATCAAAATTAATTTCACATTAAACTAAATCGGAATCATACACAAGCATTAATTTGTTTGCGCGTCTCAGATGTCCTAACACTAAACTTTCCACAACTGTTGGAATATATGTCGGGTTACCACACAGCTACAGATATGATTTCTGCACTAAAATTGTCAAAAGCAGTCGTAGAGTGACTTTCTCTGTATGAAAATTACTGAAATGGTCAGATGCAGGATTTCATAAGGATTTGACTTTCAAAATCGTGATTTAACTCCGCAGATGGCCAAGAAATTTCTCGCCTTTATGAAAACCGAATTTTCATTATCGTTTTCTCAAGATCTCACTGCCCTGAGTCAGTACAATAAAGTCCATATCTTTAAACTTGGTTCTCTTAAAATTCATTTTATCCTTTCCATCTACGCCATGGTCTCCAAAGTGGTCTTTTTCATTACGATTTTTAGTATAACGTTTATACGCATTTATCATGTCTGAAATGTAACTGCTAATTGTCTTGAAGTTGTTATATAAATTTCCTTAAACACAGATACATAAACTTCAGTAACTTATACTTCACGTGCGTGTTATTAGTGCAAAAAGGCGTGTCAGTAATGTTTTACAAAAACTAATTTAGAAGTGAAGATCACCTACGTGGACGCTTCAAACATACACGTACTATTAATGCTTACTGAAGACAGTTGATTATATTGGCACCCACAAAAGATGCAAGTTTTAAAGTTCGGGATCCAGGAATAACATTCAAATGTGTAGCACAGATTATAAATACCAAGTAACAAGGCGAATGTTCCTATATAGGCCTAGAGCAGGCCTGCCCAACCTTTTTTGTTGTGCGGGCAACTTCGGCAAAATTTGGTCTGTATGCGGGCAACATGAAGTTCAATACATAAACTGTGGAATGTATATGTATAATGATATATATATATACTTTATCTGCGTATTTTTCTATACATTATATACAATAAAAATATACTCATAACAATGTGACAATTTTGTAAACAATGCAATTAACAACCTAGGCTAAGGCGTGTTTATTTTTAACACATGTTTACAAAATTAACTAGTAATGTAATGTATGTCTCCATAAATAAAAAGCTTGTAACCTCTTTAAAATATTATTGCGGAGATTTTAACTTGGTTGTGATCTTTTGCACAATAAGACCGACAATGAAAATATCAGAAAGAAGCCGCTGCTGGCAAATTCACATCTGCAAGTCGTTAACTAGAAAACACCCCCGTAATAATACACGTCGGCAATCGACGGCAAAGGTATTTTTATCCCGGCAAGGGACAGCCACTAACAATAAGGATTTATGATAAGGTCACGTGGGACTATGTAAGTGGTGGTATGTTTTCATTCATAGTTTGGCAGGAAACGGGTAGACTTGCTTCGGGGTTCTATGGCGCTGTTGACAGGGAAAGGATTAAAAGACGTTTTCTTATTTCAAATGTCTCCGCGGGACATAATGCCGTGTCGCGGGCAAGTTGTTGCCCGTGAGCTACAGGTTGGGCGGGGCCTTGCCCACAGTATTGGTTAGCGGCTCAGTTGGTGTATTTGAAACGTGTTTGAAAACTTTATGGTTGTAAATGCGCTGTCCCGCGAACCTTTAAAGTACATCTGTAACTATACACACACCTGATTTTAATATCCAGAAGCTCTGCACTTCGTCCACAAAGTCTATTTACGGGTTAGTATGAATTTCAGAATAAACAATGGTTATATCTTGAAATAAAGTAGACCAATTTTTCATCTTAACGGCCAAGAGTTATGGTTTTGTTTAATAAGGAACTGAATTCAAGGGGTAACCATTCTGGCGAGTCTAATTTTGTGGTAATGGCCGCAACAAGAATATGTACATCATAATTATTTACTTTATGTAAGTCTAGATGTTTAACAATATGTCTCGTCATATCACCCCAATCTGACGATTTATATAGGAAGGAAGAGGCCAGATTCTTCCATCATTGCATTATCACATTATTACATTACATCATTATATTAAATGGGATGAAATTTGTACTGACTTTCATCAGTTCACTACTTCCAAGTTTCCCTATGCAACTGTTCCCTTAAGGAATATATACAAGATGTCTTTGTTCTATATAACTTCAAGTCATCCAAATCAAATATTTTTTTCAAAAACTGTAATTGCAAACAACAGCATTTAAACAAAAATAAAATGAGCACTTGCTTCACAAGAGCTGAACTGTGTTAATTTAAAGTTGGGTTATAACATAATAGGAAATATTTGTGTCGACGGCTTGTTAACTGAAGTAACGAATGTGTAAAAGCGATACAACTACCATCTCAGTCCGATTTTTCTATTAAGAAGAACTCACGGTCTTTAACAGAGAATAGATATGCAGGCATCAGCTTAACCGCTTCTTCGATTATCACACAAAATCTTTGTGCACTAAACTCACTCGCATAAGGAAACTTATAGAGCACAGACCTTCTGAAAGCCAATATCATCTGGTAAAAACATTCTATAGATTTTATAGAACACGAACATTCATCACTATGTACATAAGGATCCTTCGTATTTCTTGCAGAATCATATTAATGTTATACTTGTATTGGCCCCTGCGTCTTTCAAGTCCTACTGTAAGTCACTCTGGCGGAAATGTATGCCTTAGTCACTCTTCCTATGGGTGCTACATAACGTTCCCACCACTCTACTTCATTTGACAAATCTAATAACATTTGGGGAAGAGATCAATTTGATGCAACACAACAAAACTCCACTAAAAATACATATACACACTATAATTAGACTTAAAGAGTACAAAGAATTGTTATGACAATGCTAATATAGCAGAACAATAAATTCATTGGTCGAACTAAGGAATGAATGTTTGTACCAGATAATGTATACCCAGATCACATAAAAACGACCTCAAGCTAACTGTTTGGTTGAAACATATCACCGTAATTCTATATAAGATCAAAATATATGTAAAAATTAGTTTTGTGGCCGGAGAAACAATACCTAGTGCTGATTGTTACTGTACAGTTCCTTCACGTTCTAAAAATAAATCTGTAAAAAACTAAGACATTCCGTGGCAATTGAGGTTAGATATTCCAAACGACATATATTTCTGTTCTCTCTTAAGGGCTACAGCACATCTCAGGATGTTGTTCATCATTATTATGGATTAAACTTCTGGTTCTTTTCAGTACAGTACCAAATGTTAAAACTGCGACATTTCAGGTTCTCAGGGGGCGAGTATGAAAATGGCTATCTTCTGAGGTTTTGAAGATCGCCCTGATGATAGAGGCAGCAAGCACCTCTGAAACGCCAATAAACGCTTACCAGACTACACGAGGCAGCAACCCAGAAGGCAGCCATCTTAAAACATTAAATTATTCCGTTTTCGTCGGGTGCCTCTGCGATTCTCCGTCTCCTTTTTGATTCAGTGATGGAGCTGTCTCGCTTATCTATTCACACATTCGTAGGATTTGGGGTTTTCACGGCGGTCAGTCTGAAGATGGCTGTCTTCTAGTCACATATTCCTTTGACAGTTTCACTAATTTATTTTATCAATATTCTCCATACCATTAGGATAATCATATTAAGACAAAAATTGCATGCAAGATTTTACTCCGGAGATGTGAATTTAAAAAAAAATCTGTTGGGGGAACTTAGACATAAAATGTAAGCTAAAATTAAATTGGATATTCAAAAAAGGAGGGTTGCAGAGAATTAATTGGATTTATCTGGCACATAACAGCAGCCTTGGGTAAGTTCTTTTGAATATGGTAATAAGCCCTCTGGTTTTATAAAAGGCGGGGAATTTCGTGACCATGTGGCCGACTATTGCATTCCCAAGACGTAGTGATAGTTACATTGTAATTATTGTATTGACATAAATGTGTTTCTCCCACTCTTTTAATATATGAACTGCATTTATGATCTGTCACTCTGAATCATGCGCCAATCAAATACAACATGTCGCCATTACAGCATCACCACGTGTTATTTCATTAACAGAATTTTTAGTTCAATATCACATAAATTTTAATCGTCAAAACGACAAATATTTTAAAAGAATAACATTAGTACTATGCCGTAGTAAAGGCTGCATGAAGAAGCATTTTGTATTTTCACAATATTCCAGACATTTATTTTCGCTGCATACAGACTAAACATTGAGTGAACTCTGTTATGCTGTTGAACATAATGGGAGGAGGAATGAGAAGCTACATGGTTATGGTGATGCTGCAATGTAAACTGATTCACACGTGAGTCAATATTCAACTGCATTATGTTGGCAGATGAAGCATCACTTGTCTAAATAATTTATTGCGACGAACAGGCCGGCACTGTCTCCAGGAACCAGTGCCTGAACATAATAGACTATGATTATATGGGAATAATCTTACTATTTTGGTGCATTTGTGATGCGTTAAGTATTTTCATCATTGTAAAAGGAAAGCGGTTGACTGAGCATCCTGCTATGAGGACGTGTAGGGGAGGTGAAATTCCACTTATTCTTAATCTCGACACGAGGTGAAAGGAAGTACTTTGCTTCACCACGCCCTGGTTGCCTTACTCCCGGAGAAAGATTACCAGGTGGCCATTTCATAGAATGTTGTGTGTCCCAGAGTCGATCTGGACAAGATAGCGGACAGAAACGTACCTAAATTCCTTCCACTGCTAGGGTTAGAAGCCCGATTGTCCAACTCGCATTCAGAAACTATACGACTTAGATATTCAGAATTATCCTACATATTTATCGACAGAAACAAGCAAAAGTACAGAGCCATA